TGAGGCAAATGAGGTGAAGTGACTTGCCCAGGATCACACATCTAGTGCGTGTCTGAGGCCAGATTTAAACTTAGGTCTTCCTGACTCCAGACCAAGTGCTCTATCCACTGAACCACCTAGCTGTCCCCTCCCCCCAACCATACCCTTACTCTAAAATTCAAAGCTGATGTCCTAGCCTCCTATTTCACTAAAATGAATGTGGCCATCAGAAAAGTTAACTCAATCCCCTTGTACCACTCCTTAAAACTTCTCTACTACTCATTCTCTTCATTTCCTCCCATCTCTACTTATCACTAAGTTAGGCCTTAACCTTAAGCTTAGCCCTAACCTGCACTGTCTAAGAGCTGTGTAATACTTAAATATGAGTGATTATCATAGTGATCATTACAATCTCCTCCCACCTTCTCCAGGAATTTGCTCCAAAAATCACTCCTCTCTCATTTTCATTCTACTCCATTTCATTCCATTCACTCTTTCCTATGACATATCAATGTATTCAGGTATCCCCAACCTTGAAATGCCTTCCTTTGACTGTTCTACATCTCTCTATTCCATCAAGCATGAACAAGACACTCCATTTCTTGGCTCTGGGTTTTTTCTCTGGCTCTCCCCCCATCTAGAATGCTCTCCTTTCTCTGCTCCAACTATTGACCTCTCTGACTTCCTTTTACTCCCAACTAAAATCCCATCCTCTACAAGAAGCCTTCCCTAACCCTTCTTAATTCCAGTGCTTCCCCCTTTATTTCCTATTTATCCTGTATATAGCTTGCTTTGTATACATCTGTTTGTATGTTGTCTCCCCCATTAGATTGTAAGCTCCTTGAGAGAAGGACTGTCTTTTGCCTTCTTTTTGTATCCCCAGAATTTAAGAGTGCCTGGCACAGAGTAGATACTTAAAGTTTTTTTTTTTTTAATTATCATCTCATCTTCTCTTGGTTCTCCATTTTCCATACACATCTTAACTTCTTAGAAGCTCTCTACACACAAAACCTCCATTCCACACTATTCCCTTACTCACTTAATCTCAGTTACTACCTAATTATTGCCAAATCCAAGGACTTCTTTTCAGTATTCATCCATATTGATTTCTCTATCATCTAGTACTGCTGAATATCCCATCCATCTGGATATTTTCTCTTCCTTTGGCTTCAGAAGTTATCACTACACCTAGTTCTCCTACCTTTTTAACTGTTATTTCTCTGTCTCTTTTGTTTACTTCTTTTCCTAACCCTACCAGACACATGCTTTCCAGGGTTCTTAGCCTTGGTGGGATTCCTTTTATGTATGAGTTGGATCAACTGGTCTCTGAAGTCCCTTACAACTCAAGTCCTAGCTAAAACTCTCCTTTTTGCAAGCCTTTCCTAATCCCTGCTAATGCTAGTGTCTTGGAAGGCTTACCATAGTGCCTAGCATATAGTAAGCATTTACTAAATGCTTATTACCCATTTGCCTTCCCTCTGTGATTATCTCTAATTTATCATGTATATATCTTTCTACAGAGTCCCCTCTCCCCCAAATTCTCTCTCCTGCTAGACTATGATCTTGCTGAAACCAAAGATTGGTTTTTTTTTTTTAAACCTTTCTTTGTATTCCCAGCACTTAGCACAGTGCCTGGCACATAGTAGGTGCTTAACAAATATCTATGATTCATTGAACTAAATGATATTGGGGGTCCTCAAATCTAATATTCAGTGACTCCCTCTGTCTCTGTTGTCTCTCCATTGTCTCCCTTGGCAAACTTCTTTACACCAACATCTTTATTTATCACCTCCTAAAAAATAATTCCTGAGCTATTGCACTAGCCCTGACCTCTCTATTCGAGCATCAAACTTAAATCTCCAACTGCTTACAGGACATCCTGACTACTGGATATTTCACTACATTTCACTGTGTTCAAAGGAACATAGAACCTATTTCTCCACCTCCCTGCACCCCTCCCCCCAACTCTCCCTTCTTAAACATAATTATTTCATTAATTGTGTCAACAGCAACAACACTTACCCAATTCCCTACTGACCTCTTGCTTGAAATCTTCTTTCTCACCTGTCATATCTCATTTGCTACCAAGTTCTATTTATTTTCCTTATTCAATATCCATTATATCTTTCTCTTCCATTCTATTTCATTATCATCACCCTAGTATAGTCCCTTTTTATGAACTGTAATATTCCTCTCCAGGAATATTACAATATAGTTATCCCTTCCCCATTATGGCGGGGCAGAGGGGAGGTGCATAGCGCTCCCTCAATCTGGAAAATCATGTAAAAATGTTTGGCCCTCCCTTCACACCAGAGAAGAAGTCTGATTTTTTTTCTTTTTCTTTTATGGGGTGTTTATAGTACCTTATTGCAAAATTTGGGTTGATATTATATAATCCTATGTGCATATTTTATGCATTTTTTAGTTTCTAAACATTTTCTGTATCATCTACTGGCCTTCATGTGTCATTTGTGGTTTCTGCAAAACTCTCCAAAAAATTCCCATTTAATTTCTTATGCCAACTCTTGACATATCAAAACCACGATGGGCAAAGTCATGATGTGGAGGTGATAACTGTATCTTTCTAACTGGCCACTGTCTATACACTCTCTTTCCTTTCCAACCATCCTTCATACTGGTTAATCTTCCTTATGAACAGATATGACTGCATTACTCCTCTGCTCAGAACCTTTCCTTGACTCCTTGCTTCCTATAGGATCACTTTCATACTTCATAAACTTGAGGTTTAAGGCTATTGACAGTCAGATACCACAATCTTCTTTTAAAGTACTTCCAGACAAATAGGAGTATTCCTTATACCTTGTATGCATTCCATGCTTTCCTACCTTTATGGCTCTATTTTTATTATTCACTATGCTTGCAATGCCCTTCCTTTCTCCACTGCACCTCTTGACATTTTGCCCATCTTTTGTTTTTGTTTTTTGGCTTTTGTTTTTGTTTTGGCTAGGCAATGGTGTTAAGTAACTTGCCCAGAATCACACAACTAGTAAATGTTATGTGTCTAAGGCTAAATTTGAACTCGGGTCCTCCTGACTCCAGGGCTGTTGCTTTATCCACTGCACCTAGCTACCCCTTGCCCGTCTTTTAAAGTCCAATTCAAATGCTACCTCTTCCAGGAAATCTTCCCCTGAACACTTCTGTTGGTAATGTTTTTTCTTTGTCTTTTTTTTTCTCTGTTGATTTGTTCTTCTTAGGCCTGTTGGACCTCACCTCACATGGTAGCTAGTTTGTACCACCATTATGTATTTCCCCTACATTGTAGTTATACGTATCATATCTACCCTAATAGGGTATAAGCTCCATATAGGCAGGGACTATGTTATATTCCTAGTACACAGTAGTAAGCTCTTAATGGTTGCTGGATTTTATTGAGAATTTGGTCTATAAGAGATGAAGATAACATTAATTTGAAAGTAAAGACTTAAATCTCAATTCATTCAATTCCCAAATTGGTATAAGTTCAAGTCTGTCATGTTTATTTTTTCCATATATACATATACATACACATATGTAGGTATATATACATATACAAGTTGTAAAATGATACTAAAAACTATTCTTAAGAATATCAAAATGTTCTATTGGATCACTCTAATGTCAGGAACACTTGAGAGAAAATCTGGTCTCAGACATACTAGTTGTGTAACCCTGGACAAATCACTTATTTGCTTCAGTTTCCTCATCTATAAAATGGTGATAATAACAGCACCTACGTCCCAGGATTGTTACAAGGATCAAATGAGGTAATAATTAAAAAGCATGAAAAAAGTGCCTGGCACATAGTAAGTGCTATATGTTAGCTATTTTCATCATCATCATCATGATCAATATTATTATTGTTATTATTTTCTGGCAGTGTTGTTAAGGAATAGTTTAGAGGGAACCTTGCATTACATTAACATCAAGGGTTATGAATAGACATAATTATATACCTACTTCCTTCTAATAATCTTACATATCTATGACCCGTGAGTTCATCAAAATGCTCTTTCAAACTCATCATATAATCTTAGTATAACTCATAAAACTTGTGTAGTATAACTCACAAACTCACATAATTCTCAGTATAACACATTTCAAATGCATACTATACCCTAAAGGAATATTTCATTGCATTTGTCCCAAACTTACTTCTTTTGAGGGGAAGTTTATAATTAGGAAATTCTGATATTGAATATAATCCATGTTCATTCTATCCAGACCTTTTACAATTGACATCTCTGCATTTGTATCCCTTCCTCAGATTTTATTTTTTAAGTCTGAGTCACGGATACTTTCTTATTTTCTCACATGCTACATTACTTCTTATCCTCCTCTGAATCTTTTTCTATGTTCTTATGAATTGAAAATAAAACATGCATTTTAAAAATGTAGCTTGAAATATTACTACTGAACCATAAAAAATGACATGAGAAAATTTCAAAGAGTCCTAGGTGGTAGGAACTGATGCAAAGTAAAATAAATAGAACAATACTATGAGGGAAAAGAACTTTTTAACTTTTAACAATGTTAACTTTTATCAATGCAATAACCATGTTTCCAGAAGACATATGATGAAATATGTTACCTATCTCTTGACATAGTACAGAAAAAGACATACATTTTTTGGTCATGGCCATATATATATCAATTTTGCTTGACTATAATCACTTGTTACAAAGATTTTTTTTTCTTTCTCTCTCTTGGTTTTGCATTGGATCAGGGTATTGAGGAGAAGGGATTTAAGAGGTCAGGGGAGTTATCAGCAGCGATGCCAAAAAAAAGCCATTAAACATTTAAATATATAGAACAGAAGGAAATTTAGAAGGAAGCACAGACAAGCCGAACTACTTCAAAAGTAATGTATAGAATGTATTATATTGTGAATGATATGAAATGGAGATTCATGGTTTCAAAGAGAACCCTCTTTTTGCGTTCTGCTGTGTATATGGAAGTGCTCATTTAAGTTAATAATAAATGTTTTAAGTGCATTCCAAAAAATATTCCAAATTCTAACTTACAACATTGTGTGATCTTCTGGATATTAGAAGAGATACGCTGAGCCAATTGGGCTGGGTCGCCACCAATTCCTGGAGTGTAAGACATGGCTGATCTGTTCATTGACCAATCTCATCAGATGGGCGGAGAAAGATGAGAAGCTTTCTCTAAATGATCACCTAGAATGAAAGTAAAATAAAGCTGCATGATTATATACAAGAATAATTCATTTAAAAGTTGACACTTTAAAAGCATCAACCAGAAAAGTGAAACTGATACCCTCAAATCAGCTTATAGGGTAAGGATACAGAAATGGTGAATAGTTAACACCCTGAACTATACAGTCATGCCCAAGTGCAAAAAAATAAAAGACAAAGAAGATTAAAGGATACTGGCCTCTAAAGAAAAGCATCAAATTAAATATACACCTGATCTTAAGCAAAAGACTTCAAACTTCAGTCCCATTGAGTTGTGTTTAAAGACAAAGGCTTTTTCATATATAAGGTTAGTGATTCCTTATATTTGTAAGGGAAGGGTATCTAAGACAAAGGACTGCTAGTTAACATCAGGAAATTCATACAACACCAGCCTGAGTGAGCTAACTAAATGTGATCACCAATAAGCATACAAAAAGCCATAAAATATGAGATGTTCCTTATTTGCTACACTAATTCCTCCCAGACTGCTATGTATGGATAGAGTGCTTAATGTAATGCTTTCTCAGCCACTCTAGTCTTGTGCTCCATGTTCCCTTGTAATCCACCTTGGTATGTCTAAATTTACTGAATCTGCATTAAGATATGAAGTGTTGGGATAAGGGTATAGACCACAGTGATGGCAAATATGGGACAAATTGAGACAGGATGTGGTGGCTATCTCCAGGGAATGAAAGGGATGAGTTAAAGATGAATTTAAAGTATCAAGATTGAGGATTAGGAGACCAGCTTTGCCATTAATAGGAATAGGCAGGCTGCTAAAGGGGAATTCTAGTTTTAGAAGAAGATAATTAATAATTTTTGACAGTCTGAGTCTGATGTTACAGCAGGTTACTCATGGAAATGCCCTGCAAGCAGCTGGTAAAATGGGATTAGGGTGAAAGGTCTAGGCTGGAGCAGTAGCTTTGAGAGTTCTAAGTTTCAGGAAGGACTTAAAAGATCAACACCAATGGTATATAACAACAACAACAAATATATACATATATATATATATATATATATATATATATAATGTTTTTCCCTCCTTCATATGCTGTTTCTATGAAGAATTCTTTGAGAAAATAAAAAATACAAAAGACATTGGGAAAACTGGCGTTATAAATGATGATAAAAATGTTGTAAGATGGAAAAATGATAAACTCTAATTTGATAAATGCATGATTCAACTATAAAGTAAAAGGCTGACTGTAGATAATGAGAAGTGAAGAACAGAAAGAGTAAGAAAAAATTAGGACTGGAAACATAAATGCAAATGTCATTTATACATAGGTGGTTAATTGAACTCATGTTGGATGAATGTAAATAATACGTAGAAGAATTTGAAAACAGGAATAAGGTTTTCATCTTAGGAGACACTTCTAGATGAACTCTGGGGAGAAAAGAAGCCCATATGGATACATAAGTAGGAGAAACATTAGTAGATATAGTGTCCCCAAAATCAAGCCTAAGGGAGGTTTGTCTTAAGTTTTACAAACAATAGAGATGCTGGAAATTCTGACTAGAAAAGAGAACATTAAATTTGCCTAAGAAGAGGTCATTGAAACTAACATTTTACAAAGAATCATGATGGAAATTCATTTTTTTTCAGATATCAAAATTGAAAAATACAAGCAACAGAGACAAAATTGTTAACAAAATGTTTAAAGACTTTAGATATGAATCAAACAAAGAGAGGGGAGCAAGTTCCATCCGACCTGGTCCAGAGCTATTTGCAAAGGAAGTCTCTAGTCAGAATGCCTTTAGCTCCCGGTAGCATAATTGTAGTTCTCTAAGGACAAATCTACCAGCCATCTAATAAATAACAAAATCCGAGGCATAATATAAACAGCTCAAAACTGATAATTTGTAAAGCATCTGAGTGGGTCAAATGTGCTTACCCCTCTACATCTCCAAGGAAAATCTAAATATTCTTTGACCCCATGGACCTAGGCTAGTGTCAGTCCAGGCCAAAGTTCTGCAGTGTGTAGAATTTTTGTTATAATATGTACCAAGGTGGCTACATCATCAGAAGGGCTATTTTTTTGCCTCCCCAATGAAAATGGTGTGGGAACTACCTTTGAGATTTAGGGTGACAGCTTAGCAGGCTTAATTACATCTACTGTACATTCAAAAGGTATCAAGTATCCCTGGTCTATTTCTAATTGAACCCGAACCACTTAGAGGCAGTTGGGTGGTACACTGGGCCTGGAGTCAGGAAGACCTGAGTTCAAATCCAGCCTCAGCCACTTCTTAGCTGTGTGACTCTGGACAAGTCATTTAACCTCTCTCTGCCTCTGTGACTTCAACTGTAAAATGAGGATAAAGATAACACAAAACCCAAAGGGTTGTTGTAAGGATACAATAAAATAACTTTTCTAAAGCACTTAGCACTGTGTCTGGCACATAGTAGGACCTTATTAAATGCTTATTCCCTTCTTTTCCCCTCCCCAGTGAGGTTCAGTCAGAAGAATTCTGCTATTCCACTTCTTATTAAAACAGTGACAAGTCATTTCCCTAAGCCCATCCCCTCCCCAGTCATTTCTCCAGCAGTCTAGATGTAAGCTCTTTTCCTTCTCCTGAATTCTTTCTGTATCCTTATCCATCATAATCAGTATCTTTTCACAATCTCTTCTCTACCACTTCTAACATACTTACTACTAATACCATAGACTTGCCAATATTCTAGGCTTGTAAACCTGAAATTATATTTCTCTTTTTCCTATGAATTCATTTTTTAAACCCAGATCTTATAGAACCTCCTATACACCATAGCATTTCTCTTAATTTACAAGCTGACAGGACAATCTAGGCATTAGCACATCATAACTAAACTCCATTAAGCTCTTTCCTCAGCCCCCTTCAACCAACAGTTCTTTACTTTGCACAGACATATGCACAAGGTTGCTGACTTCAAAGATTCTACTTTTCAGTTGAGGAGATAAGACATGAACCAAATAGAGAACAAAAGACAGGACATAACTAAATGTTAATGATGTGGTGAAGAGTATAAAAAACTGGGTGTTTCTGGGGGAGTGCCACAGGTGGAAGCTTCATAGAGGACATGAGATTCTAGCTGGGACTTGAAAAATAGGCCTTCATAAGTAGGAATTAAAAAGACAGAGAAGAGAAAGGGGGCAGAAACTGAAAAGAGCGTGAGCTGGATATGGTTCATTCTTCAGACAGTGGGATTCCTTGGACTTGAATACAAAGTCTGTGTTGGACAATAATGAAAAATAAGGTTAATTTTACAGAGAGAATTTTATTCAAGCCCCTCTGGACCACCGGTTGGTAACCTTATGATGATTTCCCAAAACATTTACTAAAATTTAAACTCCTGACCTCAAGATTTGTACCGATTCCTACATCTTTACCACAGCTTGTCCTTTTTTTTTTTTTAAGTGTTATTTGAAGCTAATAGGGAACAATGGGCTAAATAAAGCTAATGGGATTCAGAAAAAATTCATGGCTAGGTGTGACATAGAATGCAAGAACAGATAGCTTAGAGGATCACAGGCCAGTCATTTAAACTAACTTCATACACTTGCTTCTTTGCTTAAAAATAGGCACAAAAACTTACATTACCATATGACACAGTCTATTATTGAATGTCTGCATAAGTTCACACTCTATAAAATCCAGTGGTTGGTCAGAGCAATTTTTACCTAAAACTACTTTCTGAGATATTTTTTAAAGCTAAATGAGCCATCAGCAGGAAGAGTGAAAGTTTAAAAAAAAAAGACAAAAAGGTGCGTGTGTTTTGTAATCTACAGGAACTAAGAGTATGTGAGAAATAGTTCTAACAGAGAACAATCAAATAAAATGTGCTCTTTTCTTGATGAATATATATATATATGTGAAAATGTATATTATAGTATATTATATTAATTATTTAAGCATGGATAGCATATGGGAGCCAGGATGTGCAGTGTTCTGAGTTGAAGCACTGATTGATTGAGACCATAAATAAGCAATTATAGCAGCTGATATTTATATAATACTTTATGATTTTCAAAGCACTTTACATGCATTAGCTCATTTGATCCTCACAACAACACTGGGAAATGGGTGGTAGAGGTATTACGACTGACATTTTGTGGATGAGAAAACTCAAGCACAAGCTGAGGATCATATAGCTAATAAGTTGCTGGGTCAGGATTTGAACCCAGGTCTTCTGATAAGGAGGGGAGCAAAAGAGGGAGATAGAGAAAAGAAAAGGAGAGGAGAGACAGGAGGGAGGAAGAGGGAGAGAGGAAAAGAAAAGGGGAAGGGGGAAGGGAGAGAAGATGAAAGGGGTGAGGAAGAAGGAGAAAAGGGGGAGAGGGAAAGGAGAAGGGAAGAGAGGGAAAGAGACAAATACAGAAAGGAGATAGAGAATTCCATAAAACCAATGCTGCTACCATTTTCAATTTAGAAATAGGATCAGTTATGTTCAGTGGCTTTTAGAATAGCGGTATATACAAGGATTGATAACTATTATAAACTACTCATAAAAAAGAATGAACATTTATGTAGTTTCTTTGGTCTACTTAGCTCCCAATTACATTTTTTTTAAAAAATTTTAAACTTTTCCACTTTTTCTTTGTGGAAAATTTAGATGGATATGGGAGATGCAAAAGGAAGTTAGAGACCTATAAGACAGATCATATTAGACAGGAGTGGAGATTTAAAAAAAAAAAAAGAAAGGAGCCTTTTTTTTTTTGGCCAAATATTCTAGGTCACATTATCCCCTAAAGTGGTACCGACATTCAAGAACTCTAAGCTCTTAGGATCGATTTTTTCTTAACTTAAAAAAAAAACAACTAAATTACCCTTTTTTATATTTAATAGCACAATCAGTAAAGCCCCACCTCATCCTCAAGCCTCTTTCCCGAGGGAATTACATGTTAGGCAGAATTCCAAAGTAACAAAGTATCATATTCAAACACTTATCAGATAAAGTCTGTTACTTGGTGAAAGATAAAGTTACCAAATTAGTTGACAAAAGAAACAGAGTAGATGTAATCAATTGAGGCTTTAGTAATATGTTGTATCAAAGCTTGAGAACAAGTTTCCCCTCAGACAGTTTAACTAGGTCGTATTTTTAATTTGGCTAGAGGTCAAGGTCATGGGTGATTGCCTAAGTAAGCACCAGGATGAGGAACTGGGCATTTGTTGGGGGTCAATTGCACTAAGCTGATGTTCATGATGCATAGCATAGAATGGAGCAAAATATAAGCAGGTGCCATTTGCTACTCATCCAGCATCAGTTTCACCTCATTTCCTCCTCTACTATCACTGCTAATTTTTCTTAAGTTATGGAATGAATAGGGATTGTCCATAGAGCTAAGTTGTTGGAATATTATCTATCCCTAGCTACTGTTCTTTGAAGTGCTCTTTTTGTCTTTAGAATACAAAGAACTGAACATCTCAAAATAAAAGAGTGATGGATGGTAGGAAAAGAAACTAGGCCCACAAATAAGAAAAAGGAACAATAGTTTTGCACAGAGCAAGCATCTGCTCAAAGAAAAAATAACTAAATGATGATAAAAATCTAAAAGATCATAAATTTCTGGGAACTTGAATATCAGGAATTCAAAAAGCTGGAACAATTTCAGGGTAGAAAAATATAAATAAGTGACAAGAAATTATTAAATATATTATATAGAGGAATTAGTGAAACAGTTACTTTAAGAGCTAGCCTAAACAAAGGAGACTGTGATCAGTGCATACAAGTCAGTATTTTGCCAGTTTACTTAAAATTATGATGAAATGCATAGTCTGCCATGGTTGGCAGACAAAGTTCAATTCAAAGGGCATTTATTGAACACCAACTACGTGCCTGAGAGAAGGAAATGCAAAGACTGGGGGGGGGGGAACCTCCATATTCTCTTGGCCCTCAGAAACTTTAGGTTCATTAATTTCAGAAAGAAAAACCTTTAGACTTAGAAGTTTCTTATTATTTTTTTTTCTGAGATAACTTTTGGAAACATTTTATTTAGAAACTGGATCTCTTCTCCTATGACAAATTCATCAGTTTAGGAAATAATTTCCAGCCCCAGAGTTTCCAGTCCTACATTAGGGACCTTAGAAGACCTCTGATTTCACCTCTTCATTTTAGAGATGAATAAATTGAGGCCTGGACAGGTTAAGTGACTTGCTTAACCTGGAGTTAAAAACTGGAGTCTTGAACCTAGGTCCTTTAACTCCAAATCTAGTATTTTTTTCCAAATAAACTTGAGGATATAAAAATGCTAAAGAAAAGACTAAAAAGCTGACACAGGTTTCATGCCCCAAATAGCAATCTTTGCTTTTTTTTCTTAAGCCATTTCTAAAGAGCATTTTAAAGACATACTAAAACTAGATTTTTCAAACAAAAGCTATTTTACCAAATAGCACCCCTCGATTATTTGACATATATATTTTTAAAGTTTGGGTAAAAGTATGTTTATGGTGGGGTACAAAATTTGCATGGGCATTTTAAAAGAATTTATTATTTACCATTAGAGTCCTATTCGGAGATCTCACCATATCAAGATGAGCCTAGGTTCTTAAAGGACAGGCCAGTATAATATCTTGAAACATTTTGGGTATGAGACGTTTTGGGCAGAGACGATAGGATGAGAAAAAGACTATTTAAAATCCTCAGGGTTGTCTCCAGCATTACTGGAGGCAGAATGGTGAATTGTTTGACTATAGAAGTTCATGAAGACTATCAGAAGTTCATGAAGACTATCAAGGCATAAAAGACCTGTGACCAGTGACAGTGGAGAGAATTTTCACACCGATAAAATTATTAATCTTTAAGCATTGAAGCATAGGCAAAGCACTAAACTAGGTGCTCAATTACAAACATAAACAAATGCACTTAAAGGAGCTAAAACAACAACAACAAATAAATCTCACTGATTTCTTAGACTCTATAGCACTTTGGGACATTTTTTTTTAAGTATGCCAGCGCTGAATTCAGGGCCTGTCACATAGGTAACACATAATAAATGCTTGTTGGTTTATTGGAAAGCCAAAACCATCATGAAGGTAGGATTTAGGTGCCCCTTGCCCCTTTAGGCCCCTGAATTCATAACAACTATAGAAAAATGGCTACCAAAGCCAGGTGGTAAAGTGGAAAGAACACTGGGCTCAGAAAGAGGAATACTCATCTTGAATTCAAATCTAGCCTCTAGGTTATACATAACATATTTGCAGTTTTATTTGCAATCATCTTTTTTTAAAAAAATCATACTATATTATGGAAATGCTTGTTTTATTCCATAAGTTAAAAATAAAAAATCAAACCCAGTTTCAGACATTTACTAGCTGTGTGATCCTGGGCAAGTCACTTAACCCTGTTTGCCTCAGTTCCTCATCTGTAAAATGATCTGGAGAAGGAAAGGCAAAGCACTCCAGTATCTTTGTCAAGAAAATCCCAAAATAGGGTCATGAAGAGTCAAACACATTTGAAATGACTCAACAACAACAAAGAAGGACCAGAATTTAAGAACATCTTGAAGAACCAAACTCTCTCATTTGACAAATTTGATTCTGATAGAACATGTTTTATTTCTTTTATTATTTGAAAAAGTTTTAGAATGCTAAGGAACACTGATAACAAAGACAGAGAGAAAGGCATGAAGTATGATGCATAAATACCTAAGTCTAATCAAGTTTCAAGTGTCTTTTTAAAAAAGCATCAACTATGCCTGGTTGTTTTAGTGTTTATTATGGTTGTTACTGTGGTGGCCTGGTGCAGTGGACAGACCTGTGTTCAAGTCTCACCTCTGATATACACACCCTGAACAATTCATTTAATCTATCACTGTTCTGGGCAACTCTCCAAAACTATAAATTTCAGGGAAAGTGCTGATATGCATTGGTAGAAGCAGTTTCCACATCTGGAAGTTAACTATATCAGTGAAATAACAGATTCAGTATCTATCCCTTATTGTTATTATTCAGTAACAATAGGTAGTTGACAAACTTGTTCCTGAGTATGGAAGCTATCATCGACTATTTGGGGATTCTATCTCTACAACTTTTTTTTTTAAACACTTTCTTCACTTCAGAGCTCTTCTAGCATCCAAGTCCTCTTCAATCTCAGCTTACATTACCACTGAGATTTTTCATGTTCACCACAACTTTCACCCCAACAAGCACCCAATTTGGGGATTAAGTAGAATTCCATATTTAGGTTTATACTTTATTCACAGTTGTACTATTTGTGTACACCAATATTTGGAACTTAGAGAAAACTACAGTCTAGAATTTATAGGGTTTGTGTCATAAGGAGGAGTAAAAGTGAAGTGACCAGAGGGGAGAAAAAAATAAAGATGGAACAGGGTGTTAGTGAGTTAATATGGTCTCTTATTAACTGATGTGGAAACTAAGAATCCAGAGCATAATCCTGCAGTCACAAGTTTAAAGGAACCTGCTACTGATGCTCATTCCATATCACAAGACATAAGTCAGGACCCCTATCAATCTTTGCACAGGTGTGGCACAGGCTAGCCCAGAAGGGTTGCCTACTAAGCTATCCCAACTTTACCAAACTGAAAAGTATTTCATAAAATTGCAAAATGATTTGCTTGAGTCTGCATATAGGCAGGAAATTGTTCTGAACAAGCCTAACTGGAATATATGGGAGGCAGTGCAAATAGAGTCAATGTCAATACATTTAAGATACTATATTTCAATTTAAAATAACTTGAAAGGTTAAAAAAAAAAATGTGGTCTGACCTGGGCAATGGCTTTTTCTATTTACAAGAAAAGGAGGGGGAAAAAAGTGACTAGGAAGAACCTGGAAGGACTATTTTCTTTGTTTTCAAAAACTCTTGATAATCGACTATTTTTTTTAAGTAATTGAAAATTAAACATTTGAACCAAAGTCAACAAATGAATTTTACCCAATGTATGACTTCCTGACAATATAAACTATGGTTCATTTATTTCAGTACAGTATTCTATTTTTTCAGTTCCTGAATGTTCAGAAAGGACACTTTGAAACTTGTTTATTAAACACGAGTTGAAAAGAGGAAGAGGTCAACTCCATCCCTTAGGGGCACAGTTATGAATTTCTGGCTCATCTCATCAGCCAACTCCACCAGGGTTTGTGACAATGTTTCCAGTAGAACTTTCGATCACTGAAAAGTACACCATGAGCTATTTCCCTATCTCCTGACTTCACGTGTGCAATTGTCTTTGTGCATGGTGCTTATGCCCGGATGAGCTAAGAAAGAAAAGATTGGGAGGGCTCAGGAAGGGATAGGAGTGTTAGACTATATTCACATTCCCCTGGTGCCCGCATGGGCACTGACTTTACTCTCCAGCGTCCTCTCTGAGCAACAGGTTCAGGGGGCAGGGCTTTGGGAATACAGAGGCAACAGGAACGAGAAGCACAGGCAGAGATCTGGGAACACAATTGGGGTGAGCTCCGGCTCACCCAGAGAGGGAGAGGCAAAGCGGCAGTCCCCGGGGCCAGCTGAGCTCGCCGAGAATGCGGAACTAGCGCCCCCCATCCCCCAACACACCCGGCCTTCTGTCAGGTCAGGGAAAAACGCCCCTCAGCCCCAATACAGCTAGAAACTTCTCAGGCCTCCTCCGCCCCAGTAACCGGGAAGGGGGAAGGGAGGCGGAGGGAAGCAGCTTCTGCTGCTGCGGCAAAACCCAGGGCGGCGGCCAAACCCAGGGCGGCGGCCAACGGACACAACAGTACACAAACAAGCAGGAGCGCTGCAGAGACCCCCGCAGACGCCAGGCAGGCCGCAAAGCCATCGGCACCGCTCCGCGGGCGCGCTGACGGCCAAGGGGCCCCAGATGTCCTCTTACCAAGACCTCCTCCTTCTCCTCCTCCTCCTCCTCCTCCACCGGCGGCCACCCTTAAGCGTCCCGGAAGGCACCCGGCTGAATTTCTCAGCTGATGGGCGGTGGTTCGCAGCAGCCACCTCCCTGCTGCGCTCGCGCTGCGGCAGAGCTAGGAAAAGAGGCGGGGCCCCGACCTCTCTCATTGGCCCCGAGTCCTGAGTGACACCCACCCTTTTCCTCCCGCCCCTCCCTTTTTTTCTGTGCGAGGCAATGGGTTTTGCGACTAGAGGGCAGGGAATGTATTTTAGCCCTTTAGTCAAAGTGTACTCTAAGATATTTGCCAAAAGGAACAAGGTTACCTGTCTGTCTCCTTTACCAGGGAGAAAGCCGTCGCCGCCCTTGGCGGACACAAAAGACCCTAACTTGTTTGTATTAATCTTTAGTATGATTAACTTGCATTTCATTTCTAAAATATCCCATTTCCACGGACCCTTTGGTAGTTACGGCAATAATCACAGATCCAGAATTTCCATTCACAAACTCACTATTAGCTAGGAAAGACACACTGAGGCCAAGGGTGGAGTCACAGACCCCGCCCTTTCTGCTCCTTTTTCTCCGCCTATAAATGGGAAGAGTGATACTATTATTGTTTCTTGACTTTGTACAGTTTTGGCTTGAAAATGTAAGGGCACACAAAGCAAAGTAATATTCAGGGTGTGACGGTAGTCAGATAGTCAATAAGCATTTAATTATTAAGTTCTTACGATGTGCCAGGCGCTGTGCTAAACGCTTCCGACACCAAACACCTCCCCTCCCCCCCCCAAAAAACCTTCCTGATCTCAAGGAACTCAGTCTAAGATGGGGTGGGGGGAAGGTGGAGTCAACATGTAAATAACTAGGTAAATATAAGATATATACAGTACACAGACATATACAGTATGATATCTGTATACTATATATATCTTATATTTACATATATTACATATGTGTATAGGTATGCATATTTACATTACAATGTATATAATTTACATGTGTGTCTGTTTATAGTGATACATATATATTACACATGTGTATATATTTACATGTATGTAATCTGAAAGATTAATCTTCGCTAGCAATTGGAAGTAACAGGCAAAGCCCTCATGCAGAAAGCAGAATTTAAAGTGAGTCTGGAAGAAGGAGTGGGAAGGGGGGAAATAAAAGATAGGAGTGAGGAGGCAGAGCATCCCAGGCAAGGGAGAGAACCAGTGCAAAGGTACCAAAATGGGAAACAGTATGTTACTGAGGGTATGTAGTAATTCAATGTAACTGGGCCAGAATGAATGGAGGGGAGTAAAATGTCAGAAGACTAAAAAGGTATAAAGGGCTCAGTTTGCAAAGGGCTTTAAATGCCTGGAGAAAGGCAAGTCTTTCTAATCCTAATGTGAAATTACTGTAAAGTCAGGAAAGCCAGACAAACTTTTGTTGTGTTTGAGAAATGCTGTCTGAAATGGAAAGATAATAGATGCTTTGCTCCAAGTAAATAATATGTAGATGGCTGATGAGGTCAAGTTGGAATGGTGACAGGAGTTACAGGAGTGAGGTCATTGTTTAGACTCATTGTGCCTGTTAGAAAAATATTTTGATTGCATTTTCCCTTGGAAGGTAAGACATACCCCATTGACACCTTATTGTGGCCACTGATCTACAAAGTGAGCAAAGAGAAATATAATTTCCTGTTTGTTACCAGGCCCTTTCATCCTAAAGTACACATAACGAGCATAAGCAAAATTAATTAATTAGAACAAACAAATCCATCATGAAGATTTGTACTAATACCTACTGTAAAAAATGAAGTAGATGAGGTGGGAATATAAATATGCACACAAATACATGCATAGGGTATTATGCATGAAGATGAAGGAGAGAGAAATTACTCTGTACCAACAATGAATACATCTATGGAATGAGTCTCTGACTTCAAGACAAAAGTGGGTACGAGGAAAATGGTAAAATAAGATAGAGAATATTGTACAGTAATAAGAAATCAAAAGGCACAGAGGCTTATAGACTACTCAGAAGTTTCATGCCCATATGCTAGAAACTCTTTCTTTTTTCTTTTTTTCTGGTGAGGCAACCAGGGTTAAGTGACTTGCCCAGGGTCACACAGCTAGTAAATGTCAAGTGTCTGAGGTCAGATTTGAACTCAGGTCCTCCTGACTCCAGGGTTGGCACTCTGTCCACTGTGCCACCTAGCTGCCCCAGGGAACTCTTTCTTAAATAAGTTAGAGGAGTTTTTATTCTTTGGATGAGTACCTTTTAATGGCCAACGAGGTGCCTTCCAGCTCTCAAGTTCTGTAATTCTGTGAAACTGAGTACATCTTAACAAAAAGGAATTGACTAGTCACTGTCACAGATTCATTTCAGAAACAGCTGTCTCCTTTAGAACAGCTATTCTCAAACTATGATCTGAAAATTCCTGCAGGTCCTAAAGAGACCCTTTCAAATGGTCTGCAAGGTCAAAGCTATTATCACAATAATACTAAGATATTATTTGCTTTTTTCACTCTTCTTTCACAAGTGTACAGCGGAGTTTTCCACTGATACGTGAAATAAAGATTTGGCTGCAATAATGAAGACTATGTCATCTACAGAATTGTATTTTTGCATTACAATTGGAGAAATGTATGAACATGGCTAAACTTGATGTTTTGCTTGTATTCATCAGGTATCAACAAATCATTGAAGAACTTTATGTGAATTCTTGGCAAGAAACACAAATGGTGCTGAAATACACAAAGTGTTGAATGACTATTTTGAATCTCATGACTTATCCTGGAGCAACTGTGTTGAATTTTGGGCTGATGGTACAAAAATAATTCTGGGTAAAACTCCTAGTGCCATAGCAAAATCAAGGGATGTGTTCCAAATTGTACTAGTAGCCATTGTATTCATCATCCCCATTCACTTGCAGTGAAAAAAAAAGTTTAACTTCAGAATGTCCTTTGATGAAGTAATAGAAAGTATTGATTTTATTAAATCTCAACACTTCAGTAATGTCTTTTTAATATTCTGTGTGACAAAATGGGAAGTATGCATAAATCACTTCTGCTGCACACTAAAGGGTGATGGTTGTCTCCAGGAAAACTACTCGTGCAATCATGTGAGTTGCCAGATGAACCATCACTTTTTCATAGATCACCATTTTTACTTGAATGAATGACTGGCAGATGCACTATTGTTATTCAGACTTAGATATTTGGTATGTTTTTTTTTCTTCCCAGAAATGAATGCAGTGAGTTGCTTATTTCAAGGAAAACAATTGATAGAATTTGTTGCTAAAGACAAAATTTAAAATTTCAACAAAAATAGAATTTTGGAAAATGTGTGGCCATCACTATGAGTTTGACAGCTTTCCAATGCTTAGAGATTTTTCTGATGACATCAGGGGGTGATATTAATAAATGTGATTTTTAAATATTGCATAATGACATGAATCAACATTTGGAAGTTATATATAACTCAGTGAACCAATATTTTCCAAATGACCAAAGCATGATGTTATAAAACCATGCATGGATAAAGGATTCATTCAAAATACCAGATGGAATGATGGCTTTTAATATGACAGTATAAAAACTTTATTGAAAATGTTTCAGATTCACAACTAACTTCTGTCAACTACCACTAAGTTTGTAAGTACAACTTGTCAAGTTTTGGGGTATCATCAAAGAAGAAAATTCACGATTATTAAATGCTTCTCTCTTTTCCAAAACACATCTGTGTGAGGTTGAATTTTGTTCAATCACTTCAACCAAAATAACATCTAACAATAGATTCAATGCAGAAGCAGATATGCAAATATATTTTTTTCTATTAAGCTATATATTAAAAAGATTTGAACAAATGTAAAAATGGAGAGGGTGGAGTTATGATGATGGAGTAAGGCAGGAGCTAGTCTGAACTCCCCCAAATTCACCACCAAAGGACTGTAAATAACAACTCAAAACAAATTCTGGAGCAGCAGAACCAACAAAAGGACAGAGTGAAACAATTTTCCAGCAGCTGGAATCCAGCCCAAGATAACTTATAAGGTTGGCAGGAAAGATCTATCTTGCTAGGGTAAGAGGGGAGCACAGTCCAGTGCAGGTGGAGACCAGGCAAGCCAGAAGCAGGCCACACTCCAGCAAGACAGTAGTGAGAACCCAAGCCTTGGAATTGAGTAGCAGTGAGACGCTGTTCAAGAAGCATCCCCTTCACACTAAGAGAGAAACCCAACTTTAACAGCAAGTTAAATGTCACGAAATAGGCTGGAAAATGAGCATAAAAACAAAACAAAAACCTTACCATAGAAAGTTGCTATGGTGACAGGGAAGATCAAGAACAAACCCAGAAGAGGACAACAATGTGAAAATGGCTACATGTGAAGCTTCAAAGAAAAATGGGAATTGGTCTCAGGCCCCAAAAAAAATTTCTGGAAGAGATCAAAAAGGACTTTAAAAATCAAATAAGAAAGGTAGAAGAAAAATTGGGGGGAAAATGAGAGTGATGCAAAAGAATCATGAAAAAAATCAACAGCTTCGTAAAGGAAGCACAAAAATGGGGAAAAAAATGCACAAAAATTTACTGAAGAAAACAATACCTTAAAAATTAGAACTGGCCAAATGGAAAAAGAAGTATAAAATCTCACCGGAAAAAAAATCCTTAAAAATTAGAATTAGGCAAATGGAAGCTAATGACTCCATGAGACATTAAGAAACAATAAAACAAAATCAAAAGAATGGCAAAAAAACAGAAGAAAATGTGAAATGTCTCATTGGAAAAACAACTTACCTGGAAAATAGATCCAGGAAAGATAATATAAGAATTATTGGGCTACCCCACCATCATGATAAAAAAAAAAAGAGCCTGTCTATCAAATTTCAAGAAGTTATCAAGGATATCCTAGAACTGGAGGGTAAAATAGAAATTGAAAGAATCCACCTATCACCTCCAGAAGGATATCACAAAATGAAAACTTCCAGGAATATTATAGTCAAATTCTAGAGCTCCCAGGTCAAGGACAAAATACTGCAAGCATCCAGAAAGAAATAATTCAAATATCATGGAGCCACAGTCAGGATAACACAGGATTTAGCAGCTTCTACTTTA